GGTAGAGTCAGTGTGCTGTTAACACGATGGTTTTGCCCTTGTTTTTGAACTATCTTAATGCTTGGAATTTGACAGCAGTAGTAAATCTTTTCCATAGGTTCAGAGGCTTCTAAAAGAACATGCTTATTTGGTAATTAAAATCAGAAATACAATCAAATCTTGATATTTAGAAAAGGGACCTATTTTAATATGGTGGTTGTGGGTTAACCCTAGCAAGCAGCTCAGCCCTACACAGCCGCTCGCTCACTCTCCCCAAGTGGGATGGGGGAGAAAATCAGAAGGGTAAAATAGTGAGAGAACTTGCAGGTTGAGGTAAAGACCAGTTACAATGGCTTATTAATTACTCACCTTCCTGAGCTGGATTTGACTTTGGTGATGATAGCCAGCTTGTTAAGACACATGGTTGGAATTCTTGGGCAGGAGCATGGTAGCTGGCAGGTGGATTCCTCTACACAGTCAACAAAGAAATAAGGCATCAGAAAAATAGGTTCTAAATTAGTGATTATAAGCCTTAGGTTCCCTGCAGTTGTTTTGGATAGAGAAAATAGTCCAAATGAGAAGATGGCAACAAGAGGGGAAAAAACATAGTATCTTAACTTGAAAGAACAGAAGAGAAGGAACCAGGGTTTCTTGTACTTAGCAAAAAGAGACAGTGTTTGTCTGTGTGTAAGTAAATTTGGAAACTTAAGAAGTGATAAAAATCCGTAATATTGGAGGAATCAATACTGAGCTCAATACTCAATGCAGAGCTGAGACAAGACGGATGGAAAAAGGAAGCAAATACCTGTGAGCTTTACAGTCAACTGCTGCAGCCTAGCTCAGGAGACGATCGGTCTGTGATAATGGTGTTTGGAAGAAGCAGGGTTATCTAGGGTACCAGATTAATTTTATGGCAGCAACTACATCTGGACCTCTAGTGGAACAAAGTTTGTGGCAGAATTCCTGTAGACTGTTTACAGATTCAGTTGATGGATAATTGATCAATTTTCCCTCTTTTGAAAACCATATCATTAATTTTGACTGTCTCTCTTCCAACTAGTCAATGAGCATAGTTGTTTTACAACATGCAGGGCTAGTTAGCCAGAAATTGTTGAGTAACATAGATTGGGAACTGAGGTCTGCAGCTCTCAGGAAAAAAAAATTGTTTTAAAAAAGAGCAATATATATGACATATTGTGCTTTAAGAAAAAAGCTAGTTATTTAATTGTGCAAATTTTCATTTAAAAAATTCCTTATTACACTTCAGAATTTCTAAACATGCAGAAAATGCCCTATGTGACAATTTAAAAAAAAAATTTTTTTTAAGGCTTATATGTTTACATCTTTTCCATTTCTCTCGATCACAGGGTTTTTGTGGTTTTGGGTTTTGTTTTTTTTTCTTTTGAACCTGTATTTGAAAGAATATAGTGGTTTCACTTCTAAATCCCTGTTCTACTCATCTAGGGCTTAGTTTAAACAGGCTTTTGATAATTAATGTTTACAACAATCGACTTTCATCAGCCAGGTTTGAAGTCTTCATAAGGGGAAAAGTTGTGCTCTGGTTCATGTCTATATTCTTACTTCTGGAAGTAATATTTAAAAAGTATCTTTCCACAAGGCATACTCCATTGAAGTAATGAAAGTACCATGCATCATCTTGGGCTCAATCTTACTAAGACTACACACACCAACTTTATTGTAAGATACTGCGCTAAGGTACCACAAAATTTGGCAAAACACTTAAAAAGGCTTTATACCTACAGACCAGACAGTAGTACTGAATTATTCTGAAGTCAGAGCACTACCTACAGTATGAGGGCATAACTAAAACAAAGTTCAGTTTCATTGGCTTTACAAGACCTAAGGTTTTCTGTACCATAAAATTAATAACATTAATCTATATCCAACATTTCTCAGGCATCTTCATTATTTGATGCCTGAATGTGAATACATAATACAACTGTATCAATTGATGGAGTTGCCTGAGGAGTGCCGATACAACGTGCATAAATTCCATTATCTGACATTCTGTGCTTAGAAGAGTACACGGTTTGGAAGGGAAGGAGCAGCTCACAGTCAGGCTTAGCTTAGGCTGAACTTCAGAAAAGTAAGAATTGCACAGCACGCTTCTGTATCTGCTGATGCTCCAAGAGATTAGGCTACTAAGTTTATGTTGGCACAGACAGGAATTGCTTATCACAAATACAAATGAAAATTAAAAAGCCACGAAAACAAAAATACTGGATTTTTTAATTGTTTTTTGTATGACTTAAAAAATGTATAAAAAAATCTGTACTTATGGAAAAGTAATACTTCTCAGAGAGAATCCTTTTTCTTGTAGTGTTCTTTGTTCTGAAATGTCATTAGATTGGGCTCATATTTATCTTTGCTGGAAAGACTTGCCTCTGCCAGGTTCCTGATTTTAGCAGTATGTTACTAGAGTGCCTGATAATGGTATCACAGTAATAGCCATGTGTGCTTGGCTGCATTCTCCCTGTTGCAGGTAATGATCCACTTTACAAGATAACTAAATATCAATCCATTCATGCCTTTTAAAATAAGATCCAAAATCAGGATTTTAAATTCAGAGCTGAATTTAGTTGAAAGATGGTCTTTACCAAAATTTGCTTCTGTGCTTTTGCTTTTATTTAAAAAATGCATGATTCTGACTGCTGAATAGTCTTGAGGTTTTTTTGTAATGTCTGCATTCAAGCCTAGGGGAATTTAGAGGAGGAGATTAATTTTTCTGGAGAAGCTAAGGTGAAAAATTATGCAAGAAACTACTTTGGGTTTCCAATGAGTTACTAGAATACCATCTTCTAATCCCAAGACTTGTTACTGCTATCTAGCAAGTAACCCTTCTGAAAGAGCTAGATAAGTCTCCTGCTTTGTCAATCCTAATGATGTTTAACTTCTCAGCTTTTTCACTGCACGTCTTTTATTAATTAATTGATGTGGATAAATACCCTGAAAATACAAATAGCAATCATAGTAAGTGATAGGTGTAAGGCTAGCAGGTGTGCTTCTGAAACCAAAAGGGTCTTACTGTGCTGAAGAGCCGTGTGTGCTTGTTCCAAAGCTGTTTGATCACTGATGGGGTTGGTAGCAGAGTAGTTGTTATTACATGATTCTTGCTTTTACTTTCTCACACAAAAACCACCTTTTTTTAAGAACAAGTACAAAACCAAATATGTACAAATAATTGTTTAAAGTTTCTGTAAATGTTTTATGTAGCCTATCATATACGTGCCACCCTTCGTTTTCCTTCACATAGAAGTATAGAATAGAACTGATGCGGAGAATAATTCTGTGATCTTTAAAGCACAGTAGATAAAGAACATGGGCTTCTTTTTTTTTTTCTTCCATTGTATGAAGACTTTGAAGAACCCTCTTCTTAAATCTGTTGAAGATTAAAGTTGAGACTCCATAGATTATAAGGAGTAACAAATAAATACAATATATTTATTTAATGTAGCATAAGAAGGAGGAATTAGAAAATTGCCTAGATATAAGATTTTGAGGGGATAGAAAACTCTCACAAAGGAAGTAGTAGTCTATCTTTTCTGAGATTGTTTGCTAGACAAACTTCTAAGAAATTTATTATAATACATAATACATGATAATACATGATCCACTGTTAAGTGGATCTATTGGCTAGTGCTTTCAAATCTCTTCTAATTACTATAAAAAATAAGTATTAAAATATCTTTTAAAAGATTAGCTGTATTAGATGATCTGTCTTAGTATGACAGTTTGTGGTTTGTTTTTTGTTTTGTTTTGTTTTTTAAAAAATCTGTATTAATGATTCATTATTTGCATTTATTTTCCGTCTTTGCCTAGGATAACACCTACTTTACCTTAATTTTTTTGGTCCAACTTTCTCGTATGACAAAAATGAAACAAAAATCTAAGCAGACCACTGGCCGAGAGAATTAGTTATGAGATAGATCTGGTGGGTTTTGGACTTGTTGCAAGAGTCTCCAGGATCAATGACTAAAACACCATACCACGTTACTTGTGGACAAATTCAGGTTACTAGCTTTCTGGTAGCAGTGTTCTGAGGTTGCAAATATATTCAGTTCTGGCTCAGTTTTCTTTTCAGGACCGTATAAATTCCTGTAATAGTTTGACTCCATGCATTCTGCTAAAATCTGTACCTGCTCTTTCTTGAGAGTGGCATTCCCCTTGGACTGTGTTCAGGACCTCAAAGCTAATAGCAACACTGACATGGAATAAAAGAAGAAAAAGAGTTAGGTGCAGGTGCTGGGATGTGACAGTTTGTTTATAGCTGGAATTATGGGGATCTGCAACCTTAGAGCTAAACAGAAAAAATTTGGCACCAGGGTCTTTTCACAGATTAATCGAAAGTAGATTCCTGGAATTAAACATCCACAAAATAAAAAATATATAATTTAGCTGATTATTCTAGGAAATCTTCAGCTGTATCCCTCACTGTTAACGTATGGGATAGTTGCTACAATAATTGATCTCAAATCATCTCTTGCCTTAGTAGGAACTTTTTTAAAGCTGTCTAAATTTTGAGTCTTGTCATACAGAAATAGTGAAGAGAAATACATTTAATGAAATTTTGGGGAAAAACCAAATGACACTGGAAGGCGCACTAGATCCTTAATAACTTTTTAAATTTTAAAAACTTCTGTTTTGGCATAGATTTTTCAGTTCAGAATTTTGCTACCTCATTATGGGTGGAGGATATCTCTAGCACAGAAGAACAAAATAGCATGTGAATTTTGCCAACAGCTGAAGTTTGTTCTTCAGAGAGGGAATAAAATGTTGCATCACTTTGACATTATGCTGTCTTGCATGCTATTCTTGTTCAAAGCCAGGATGGAAAAAATTAAAGTCTGTAATTTTACATTTGGGATAATGTTGATGTCTGTTCCAAACTTATGGAGAATGTGTTTGAGTGCCTAATTACTATTTTATAGTCCTTTTTGATAGCCCATTTCAGTGTTTAGAGATGGACTTTCAGTAGTGTTCTCTTTGTCTGCAATTTATAGACGATCTGCTGTTGCCCGCATTCAGGAGCTCTTCAGAAGGAGGAAAGAAAGAAAAGAAATGGAAGAACTGGAAACATTGAATATTAGACGTCCTTTAATAAAGGTGGTTTATAAAGGTCATCGGAACTCCCGAACAATGGTACAAACTCTTTGTCTGTTTTGGGAACTATAGAGATTTTATGAATCAGTGTAGCTGCCACATTGATATGCTTGCCAAAAAGGATATCGTAATGTATTGTAAGCGCTTTTTCTTGTATATTTGGTTGGAAGCCATATAATTTTCTCTAAATGAAAATTAAAATTAGCGTGACTCATGTCACTGTTAGGCATTTAAGTTTTCTTGAGTTTAAGACTCTCTCCCCTTAACTTCCTTTGAAATCTTGGGTATTTTTCTTAACTTCTTTTTCATTTTGTCTGTCAGCTTAAGTGGTATAAAATGTGCCTACCTTCAAAATTATGATTTAATCCTCGCTTTCCCTTCCAAGCTCTTTAAAGGTGAAGATTAAGTAGTAATTTTGAACAGCCTGGAAGGGAAAGTGAGAATTAAATCATTGTTTTGAAGAGCTTTGACATCTCCAAATTAAAAAAAAAAAAAAAAGGAGATAGTGCTAGTTATTAAATTGTAAACTAACTATTAGATACTCTGTCTTTTTCATACAAAATACTGTATTTTAAGAAAAATGCAGTTACTGTGTTTGTAAAGCAGTGGTGCATGAGAATCAAATGCTGTTTTGCTTGCTATTTCTTTTTTTGCTTTTAACAGTATTTCGAAGATGTGAAGTTCTGAGTATTAGGTGGTATTTTGGAGAAGTAGCAGGTGTATTATTTTGCAGATGATCTGAGGAGTAGTCCCTCTACCTCCAAAAGCAATTTTCTAGAGTTTGTGTGAATGACTTTGATTACAGTGGGGGAAAATGCTTCAGTAAATGCACGTTTCAGTCTACAAAAGCCACAAGGCTTAGAACAAACTTTGATTAATGACAGAGTTTTGCACTGTATTTCAGAAATTAATTGTAATTGCTCAAAACCCCATTAGTTTAAAAGTCATAGCATCCAGCACTGTGTGTTAGTTAGGTGCTATTAAAACTAAGCTGCGTAAGTGATCTTAATTCAGTCTGCATCTGCGTATGTGTTATTATACAGATTATTTCATGGATTTTGTTGTTTGGTTTCTTTGGAATGTGGGTTAGTGTTTTTGTTTTTGTTTCACATGAGCACCTGTGATGAGGAATGCACACTGTGGAAGATGATGTAATTTTCCCTGTTGGTTTCTATGGTGGCAAACTTCATTTTAATTATTTTTTGATCGATACCCTTTTTCCTACAAGGCAACGGCTGATGGTATTTCAAGGAGACAGCTTAGAGAGGTCTTGTTTCCTACACACCTGAGCAGCCCAGGGATAAAGTTGTCTTGTCAATTACATGAACATGAACTATTTTAACACACAGGCACGTATGTGTGTGTATATATAGATATACATACATATATAAAAGGAGAGTGAATTAAGGTTATGCAGGCAAATTAAATAATTCTGGTACTTCCTTACTTTTGCGAACTTAATTTGGCACTTACATTTTTTTAATAAGCGTATTTTAAGTATGATTCTTTTATTGCTAGAAAGCAAAAGATAAGTAGCATTATATTGATGTTTGTTTGCACCATTGGCGGGGTTGGAACATTTTTAGGTTCAGCACACAGATCCCTGCCATGTAACCGCGCGAATGATGTCATTAGAGTACTGGGTGTTACCATTTTTTCATGAAACAAACCTGGAATTATGGTAGCAGGGGGTGAGATGGTAGTGGAATAATGGGGGGTGGGATTTCTTTTTTCTTTTTAGCTGTTGGAGGAAAAAAATGCTCGTGAGCCCAAAATCCCTTTCTTCTTCTTCAAAATTTGTCTTTTGCCATGTGCCTTCATTTCTGTGTCTCTCCTGTCTCTTCTGCACTATTTTTCCCTCCAGTCCTAGTCTTATCTCCTTTCTCATATATGCCATTCTTCCTCTATTCCACTCACCCCACGTCTCAAGTCCCCCTTTTAAAATACTGACTTTAAAGAAACTTTTCTTCAATAGAGCATCTGTGTGTACCTAATAAATGGGATAAGTTGTGTATGCATACAGTAGAATTGAGTGTGTATATGAGTTTGAAAACAAAATTTTTAAATGTGCTGTTAATTTATGTGGTACTAAAAGTAGGTTTTAAGAATATTAGAAATGTAAAATCAGCAGTTACGTAAGAGAATACAAGGAAGCAGGAAGAAGTCATAATTGAGAATTAAAATATAAAGTTATTTATTATTGGAGATAATTTAGATGTACTTATAACAGGATAATGAAAAATATATATTAAGAGAAGCTATAAGAGAAAAGCTGCCAAAAATTAAATATATTGGAAACACCTTTCACTACAGAATCGAGGAATGCAGTTTCTCTGTCTTATTTTTAGACATCAGGATGACTTTATTGCACTGACTGCAATCATTGGTACATATTCTACAGACAAAGATCTAGCAAGCCTGAAATTTAAAACTGGACATACTCATACTGGACATAAAGTACATATTTTTAACAGTGGTAAGGATTCAGCTTACTAATATGATTTTTTTATCATGGTGATTTTTCAGTCAAGATAGCTGGGGCAAAGCACAGAGCAAGACAATGTCTCTGTCCTTTTCTCCAGTGCATTTTCAGAGAAAACTATGCAAAAAGAAAGAGAAGGATGCAGGCACTGTCCTCTTTAGAGCTGTATTATGATGTGTTACTTGGAAAATAATTCCATAGTAGGATTCTGTGTAAATGTTCTCAAACTCAAAATTCTGTCCCTTATGCTGGAGATATTCTTAAATACCAAAAATTAGGAACTTATTTTATGCTAAACTTCAAACACTGGACATCATCTCTGTGAACTCTGAAAGCTGCTGTGTAGGAAATTTCTGTTTACATAGATATCTCTTTTGCCCAGTGTATGTCAATTTAAAGAGTTTCTAAGAGATACAGGTAACTGTTTAAGGTGTAATCTGGCATGTAGGATTACATTTTTAACTTCCAGACTCTGTTCTCCAGCACAAACATCGGACTATTGTGGAGCTTTCAGCTCACATCTTGTGATTGAGTTTTGACTGTTCTTGAAGCAATGTCCCTCCTCCCTCTGCCACCCCATGTAACCTCTCACCCTGTAGATGATGGAGGACAGCAATGGAGAAAGATACTGCTGCCTAGCCTGTTCCTATTTTAAAAAGTTTAACAATGGTTATTTTGATGTCCTACTCTGAGTAAAATCAGAATTGATTTCTGAAGAAGACTCTAATCATTAGCGAAGGAAGTGACCCATTCTTGTTTGCTCAGACCAATTGTTTGGCTTCATTTGGGTTACTTCTTTTTAGGAAGGGAGGGCGAGAGAGGCCTTGGCATGGAAAGATTATTCTACATTTAACAAACCTAATAGTTGCTTCTTGAAAAAAATATTCTAGGGTAGCTTTTTTTGGCTTAGAAATTGAATAAGCCACATTCTTTCAGGGTGTTATCATAAGGGTATCTTGAATGTAACAGGTATAGAGTAACATCAGCATTATATTTCAAGGAAATGGATATCTGCTACTACTGCCACTTTTTCCTGGCCTGCAATTTTTCTGTCATTTACATGATCATTTTCATTGTAACGCTACCCTGTTTCATAGGACAGACTGCTTCGGTTGCCTTTGGTTCCAAAACTCATGAGATTGCAGATGTGTGAAACACTCAAGGAGTCTGGATTTTCCCACTGAATTAGTAAATACACAATTAATAAAGAATACAGCATTTACTACACAATTAATTATTTATAAATAAACAACTTTTAAGAAATAAAAATAGTATAGTCTAATATAATTAATAAATATATGAATCCATACAAAAATATAACTAATATGGATAAATGATCACCATATAATACATTATTCTTATAATCCTATGACACTACCACATTTTGGAGGGAGGGATGGGAACAAAAAGGAGAAAAAAGTTCAGATTTATCTACTCGCTTGTCTCCCAAAGACTTTTTCAAGTCAAGTACAGGTCAAGCTAGCTATCTTGTCATTGACTGTATGTATCTGCTATTTTCTTTAATTCTCAGAATCAGGGACAAGACACTAGTCATTCTGAGGGGAGAGATGGTCACTTCATTAGAAAAGTGTTCTCAGCATTGTTAGCAAATGCGTATCCAGAACAATGACGTTGATGAGCCATGAATATTTTTGGAGCTTAAGGCATTTAAATACCTACTGAATTATACCACTTCACACAAGGAAAGGGAAATAGACGATGTAATAAACCATTATATAGTATACTAGCCTAAAGCATGAGCATACTGTTCCTTAAAACCCCGCTTTTCCTTTTACCCAGAGGATGATGTTCCTCTCTTCATCGCATGGAGAGAAGGAGCAGAGGCTGTGCATTGATGGCAGGGGAAGGAAGGCAGAATGCAACAGGAAGCCTTTGCCGTCTCAGCTGAGACGGTCCCCTGCTCCAAAGGAAGCCTTCCATCAGCCTCCGACAGCTCCTCAGCGCTGTCAGAGCTTCCTGGAGAAGCTGCCAGAAGACAGCCCAAGTGCACGCTGTCTGCTTCACCTCACTGACTGTGAGGCACTGCGACAAACTATACAGTTGTGGTGAGAGGTGGCTGGTTTTCTGGAAGCCTTCTCAAGGACCTTGGATCTTTCTGCAGTACTCTTCAGTCACTTTGGAAAGTGACAAATCTGCTGTCATCTTATTTGTTTCCAAACTGCTCAGTCTGCCCCAACTCCTCTTCTTTTTTCTGTTAGCAGCCACTTTGCTATGGAGATCTTTAACCTTCTGAATTTTCTGTTTTTGATAATTTTTCTTTAAATGTTTCCTGTAAATTTTCTTAAATGTTGTTTCTGCATTTGCAGAGCTCTTACTTCAGAGGCAGTGTTACTGCAGAAATGGGAGTATACTCTTTGATGTGCTTTCCAAGTTAATCTTATAAAGTAATTGTTATTTTTGTTTTTACTGCAGATAAAGGAAGCCAATTTTTGGGGATCTAACTTTGTCATGAGTGGTTCAGACTGTGGCCATATTTTTATATGGGATCGACATACTGCTGAACATCTCATGTTGCTGGAAGCTGATAATCATGTGGTGAACTGTCTTCAGCCTCATCCATTTGACCCAAGTAAGATGATAATTTTTCACAGTCTGCATGTTCAGGTTATCTGTAGTAAAGCATTTTAAAGCGCAGTCTTAAATTCTTTGCTCAGTAGATCATTGTAATGATGAATGAACTATTGTTCATTTTTCCCATGTAAATTAGATAATACTACTTTTAATTTTGTCTTTTACTAATGACCTTTGGCCCTTAAAGCCCTCCTTACTCAATAATGTCTTGGAATGAAAACATTACTGACATAGTATTTATAGAAAGTTAAGATGTAGTAAGAAGAATCTCCATTTCTTGCTCCCCTCAATATATTAAATGTTTTCCGTGACACTAATGAGGGAATTATGGGGTCACTGAAAGGCCAGCAACGCTTCGGGAATTGATATTGGAATCTGGTTTCTACTTGGCTCTGTTAAAAAAAAAAAAAAAAAATTGTGTGAAGTGGGTGTCTCAGTCTCACTGGCTTTGTGAGATCAGAAGAATGAATAAGATTCGTAGAAATTCTATTAATTTGTATTTAGGGGAAAATATTTAGAGAATAGATGGACCAAAGTAGTAGAAGGAGTCATGTGTCACCTGACGTGTAGATGGAAAATCTGAACCATTCTGCAGCTCCTGACAGAGTCAAAGAAAGTATTCGTGTTATTTCTTTTTTCATAGCTTATATGGCTGTAGAGTAACAGTCAGCTATAAATAAATAAGCAAATAAAGTTATAATAATACCAGAAGAGGCTGGTTTTTTTTCGGACAGTTTATGGAAACGTGGAATACCGCACTACATCGGATAAGCCTTGAACTTTTCAGTGCTTAATTGAAATTGTGTTCCTGTACATGTCTGGAGTGTGGCTAGGCTGGACACTACTTTGGGAAGCACTTTCAAAATGCCCTGTAGCTTTACTGATTTCTTGATGGAGTGCAACTGTCTCCCTGTCACACACTGAAAATATAATGAAGAGGTCATCCTCCTTGTAGGACAGTTATTCTTGTACAGATCTTTCCATGGAATTTTTATTCCCATAGTGGTTTTGTGCAAAGATCTAGAGAATGTTCTGCAACTTTGTCTTCCATATTTTAACAAGCGTTTATAAGAACATCCACTGCTTTTTATATTTGAATATCAAATAAATTTACATGAAATATACTGAAATTATCAAATGTCGAAATACATTTGAAATCATGTTGCTTCTGTCTTTGTACCTGGGTCTACAAATCCTAAGGCTTTGTTATTAATGCATGTACTTACCAGGCCGTCAGCAGAAATACATTAGTAGTGGCTGGGTTTGTTCTTACTTTCTGCTCCTATCTTATGTATATCCTAGTGCTTTTTTTTTTTTCATTTAAAAAAGGAGGCTCTTGAT